AAAAAAATTATAGTAAATATATTAATTCAGGAAAACTTGCCTTATTAGGCAAATCGGGCCTTGAATAGTAGGCTGAGAAGTGAGTTCTGGCTACTAGGTACGACATATATATATATATATATATATATATATATGTATGTATGTATGACAGTGTCAGACCACTGAGGAAGAATTGAAACAGCAATTTTCTAAAGTACTTTCGTATATTATTACATCTTCAGAAGGAATGATACATTCCTTCTGAGGATGTATTAATATACGAAAGTACTTAAGGAAATTCCTGTTTCAGTTCTTCCCCCGTCGTCTGAAACTGTCACATTTTTCATCACGTGATAATTTTCGTGTGTGTGTGTGTGTGTGTGTGTGTGTGTGTGTGTGTGTGTGTGTGTGTGTGTGTGTGTGTGTGTGTGTGTGTGTGTGTATTAATGACTATAGGTCAACCAAGAAAGCAATTATTTCTAATTTTAATCTCATTAAAGTAAATCCATACAAATTCAGATTTTTAATTTCTGTTTCATTATAGATAATCTTATTTACTATTGTTAAGTTTTTATCCCATCGTCGCGTTGATTTGAGTTTAAGAAAGAGTTTAAGACCGCACTTTCTTCATTTTGTATGTGTGAACAACGAGTAATATTTCATTACTATCAGTGATAGTAATTCTCAAAGATTTTCATGCACAGAACTCCTCAAATTTATTGATGGCAAAGATTATGTTTAATTATATATGTATTTATGGGTCACTCAACGATTTTTTCTGCAGTTCAGTGAGGAAGATTAAGCCACCCAAGAGGTGGCACTTATCTTGAGGTTATCTTGAGATGATTTCGGGGCTTTAGTGTCCCCGCGGCCCGGTCCTCGACCAGGCCTCCACCCCCAGGAAGCAGCCCGTGACAGCTGACTAACCCCCAGGTACCTATTTACTGCTAGGTAACAGGGGTATCAAAGTGAAAGAAACTCTGCCCATTTTTCTCGCCGGCGCCCGGGATCGAACCCGGGACCACAGGATCACGGGTGCAGTGTCCTGTCCGCTCAGCTACCGGCTCCCATTCTCCCATTCTCAGCTCCAGGCACGGGCATGAATAACCCATATATAAGGAAAATCGAGGAGAGTACTATAAATTGTGATGTAGTGACAATGATAAATGCTACGACTATTCGGTTCGTATTCGACCCTTTTCAAAATGAAACTGATGCAGGAATAGGAAAGGAAGCATTATGAAGCAAGAAATGAGGTGGGGGTGATGTTAGAGATGAGATGCAAGCACATAAAATCAGCCATGAACCTCGAGACACACACACAGCACCGCTCCTGTGCCAGGTAAGTTCACTACGGGCTCACCATAACCCGTGCTACTTGCCCCGCTCCTGTGCCAGGTAAGTTACGGGCTCATCATAGCCCGTGCTACTTGAAACTTGTTCCGAGTAGCTTAATCTATAACAACAACAACAACCTCGAGACAGTTACAGCTCCGCTCCTGTGCCAGGTAAGTCTACCACGGGCTCGCCATAGCCCGTGCTACTTGCAACTTTTTGTTCTGAATAGCTTAATCTAAAACAATAACAACCTTGAGATGAAGGAGCAACTCGCTACTAGAAACTCAATCATTTAGACTTTTCGGAACAATCGAGGTCTCGCTTCTTGCAGGTCGGCGTTGAATCCCGGACAATCCAAGTGGTTGGGAACCATTCCTTTCCTCCGTATCATCCCAGATCCTTGTTCTCATATCTCTTCCAAGTGCTATCTGTCATATTGACTTAGCGCTTTCTCCTCATGATTACCTTGCTACCAGAAGGAAGAGAAAACTAAAAAAACAGAGAAGGGAAGAACTAATTCTTGTTATTCATGTTATTCACCAAGTTATTGTGTCTTATTCTCTACAACAGTAGAAATGTTATCGCTACTTTCATTTTTATTTGTTATTGTTTATTATTATTATCGTTCACAGCTTGTTATACTAATTATTACAACTATTATAATGACAATTTTAATTATATTAATTTTTTTTTGTATCTAGTATTGCTCTTCAACACGCATCGTGGTTCTGCCAAATAGTAACCCAAATACACACACACACACACACACACACACACACAGTTAAGGGGGACATGATCACCACATTCAAGATTCTCAAGGGAATCGACAGGGTTGATAAAGACAGGCTATTTAACACAAGGGGAACACGCACAAGGGGACACAGGTGGAAACTGAGTGCCCAAATGAGCCACAGAGATATTAGAAAGAACTTTTTTAGTGTCAGAGTGGTTGACAAATGGAATGCATTAGGAAGTGATGTGGTGGAGGCTGACTCCATACACAGTTTAAAGTGTAGATATGATAGAGCCCAATAGGCTCAGGAATCTGTACACCTGTTGATTGACGGTTGAGAGGCGGGACCAAAGAGCCAGAGCTCAACCCCCGCAAACACAACTAGGTGAGTACTAGGTGAGTACACACACACACATACACACACACACACACACACACACACTCCAGAACATTACCACGTAACCATACAATGTGTTCGTGTTTTGTTTCTTCGTTAACCATAAGCCCCGAGTGCCAACTCTCATCAGTTAAAGTGCAAGAAGACGAGTGTTACTTTTTTTGCAAGTGTGTGTCACCATATTTCTTCTCTCGCAGCTCACATCCAGTTTTCGATTGTATTTGATAAGTGATATGCCCATTTTCTAATAGTATTTACTTTGTTGGTATTATCGTTTAAATGAGAAAGAGAGAGAGAGAGAGAGAGAGAGAGAGAGAGAGAGAGAGAGAGAGAGAGAGAGAGAGAGAGAGAGAGAGAGAGAGAGAGAGAGAGAGAGAGAGAGAGAGAGAGAGAGAGAGAGAGAGAGAGAGAGAGAGAGAGAGAGAGAGAGAGAGAGAGAGCACGTATGTGACCTATGCTCTTAAACAATGAACTGACGTGAACTTTGCTTCTACTTTTAGATCTGGGAATTTTAACTCTTAACAAGGTGTTACCAATTAAACAAACGACCAAACAGAACTGATGATCACTCACGTGAAAGACAATATTTTCACGTGAGCGAAAACACTAACTAAATAGAAGCCACAGTTAACAGGGAGAGGAATTGTGTTCCCGGATTCTGAACATCATGTATGAATTTGAACATCAGGAGTGAATTTAAACATCAGAAGTGAATCTATCCTCTGTTTAAGGCACGACATAAAATTGTAGGCAAATTAGGACGACAAAATGCCTTCGACACCGCCCCTCACAAGAGACTTCCCCAACACTGAGAAACAAGTCGAGATGAAGACAAAAATGTAAATGGTTAAAGGTGAGCTGCACAATACTATGCATTCACAGTAGGAGACTAATCATAAGGCTCTGGTCCATCCAGTTTGACTGGTCGGTTGGGCAACGACCTCGCCTTTGCATGACCAACGTTCGATCCCTAAAATTTCAAGTCGTTGGGCAACATTCCCGCACTCTGGCTACATACTCTAGCCTGTAGGCTATTCTTATATCCTTTCAAAGGGCTATATAGTAACACTGGCTTGGTACAATCTATTGGTAATATATTTTTGGGGGAAACGCATGCTACTTCACAAGGGACCATACTTGCAGCCTTAAATGTTATTTTACATGAATGATTTATCAGCAGGGATAGACTTTTAATGTATGCTCATTGACGGACTCAAGAAACAGAATTTCTTGGATAAACTACGTGATTTCAAGAGTTCTAGAGATTAGGCCAGACAGGAGGCATAGCTTGAGAGGTAGAAACTAGAGAATTCAGATGACAAAAATGGTATGCTGTAGGTAACCTTCCTTCAGAAACCAGTTTCCTGCGGCACACATCAGATATGTAACATTAGCTACATATGCATGGTTGATTAACGTATTTACTGCCTTCAGTAATCTGATCACGAAATAATTCATAAAAACCCACATCGCGTACATGAAACTAGTTCTTGAATATGAAGTCAAAAAGTCAAGAAGTCATGGGACCCCTCCAAGAAAATATCAAGGCAATAGGAAATTCATAGGTTTTCCACTATACTATTCTAGATCCGAAAGGAACGAATTATGAGAAGGCCACGTTATAGGGAATAAAAATGGAAGACATGATTGCAACGTACACAATACTGAGCGGAGATGACACAGTTTATTTACACTGTGTTCAGAACCATGTAAACGTTGAAAACTAATTGTCCAAATAAGCCATTGTAAGCTAAGCTAGATGCATTGCAATTAAGCACCTTCATCGGGGTTGCAAAGAATTGAAATGAACTTAGTAGTTAAGTAGCTGAGGCAATTTACATATGTGGATGCAAGGCAAATGTAACCAAACCTTAAAATCCAACCGACCGGGTAACAAGCAAGCAAGTCGATCGAAAATTGAGAGGCGGGAGACAGGAGCACAATATTATTTCCCGCTTGTCCAGATTAACCAGGGCTGATAGGTAACTTCACCAAGTACCTAAACACGCGCTCACGCACGAACAACCTTGACAACATAATTACTTAATACTCTCCCTCGTCACTCCCTGTTGAGTGGAAAATAAAAGGACAGAAATAATCTCCCATGAAATCTCGTGATAAAGATAGTGTTCAATGTGCGCTCGCGCACCTCTCTCTCTCTCTCTCTCTCTCTCTCTCTCTCTCTCTCTCTCTCTCTCTCTCTCTCTCTCTCTCTCTCTCTCTCTCTCTCTCTCTCTCTCTCTCTCTCTCTCTCACACTCTCTCTCTCTCACTCTCTCTCTCTCTCTCCAACCGTTATAAATTTAGGCCAGTCCCATCCAGTGAACACTCATGACACTGAATGGCACTGTCCAGGATAAGGAGCGGACGGCTGGACAAAGTTAGAGCATGTCAGCTGTCTGGCAACAGCTGAGATTTATAAACAAAAAATATATCTTCCTGGAAATTCATGATACAAAGCTGTTTCTGAACATGATAATATGTGACATTACGAGATATTCAGGGTCGGTACCGTAAAATGCTGTACAGGTTCCGAAGAAAGAGTGGTAGAGTATAAAGCTCTCGATGCAACTCTATCTGGGAGTGGCACCGCACATCAGATTCGCATAATGCTCGAATTTGCCTTTAATATATGGAGCGTTAGACCCACAGTCACTACGCTTCCCTGGTCGCTAGCCTCGTCCAAAGACTAAACGTAAGTCAAATTTTCAAATGCACATGGTACATTTCACGTGGTAAGATACACCAAAAAGAGAACACATTAGCATATATAGATCAAATTGCCTTTTACGGTGAATGAAAGGAGTTGTAAAAGAGATAGATTAGCGTTGGATGACCACTGATGGACAACATTTACGGATTGAGGAGTGTCTCGCATCCATCAAAGGCTTGCCGAGGCTTGCCTTGTGGCGGAAGGCACCTCGACGCATTCAAAGCATAACACATATTCTACTCGGCTAATGAGGCCATATGCAAAGATCAGAGCAATAATATCTATGCATTCCCTCTTCAAATTTATGTATCATCTATATCTAACCTTTTGTACGAAATATGTTATATAATCATGCTTTAGTTCGGCTAATCATATTTCCTAATGGTAAGCTTACACTAACTTACTCTAGAGCGCTGCAGACAATGTTTACTTAGAGTTTTGACGCAGACGCGCCAGAAGTCTCTCAAGAGGTGCTAGGTACCACCACGCCTAGGCTGGCTCTCGAGGGAGACACTAACTCTTCTCGAAGATAAACAGTAAACGGTCTGTAAACTATCATGCAGTCGACTATCTAAGCAGAAATATACACAGAAGATTTCTTTGAAATCTTTCTTCCAGCTTATTAAGAACCACAGTAGAGGATTTGTTCTTTACCCCTTTGAAGGCAAAGATTAATTTATTTTAACTTACTCTGATATACAAGCAGTTTGGCCATTTTATTTTGAGCGGTGCTAGTTCTCTTACTTGCCCAGTCGTTTATCAATAAGAGATACGTTCGGCACTTCAAAACCAAGTGACAATAACCATACAAACAAAGAACTCTCTGCTGTGGCCTTCAATTACCCGTCTAGCCATACATGCCTACAGGCATAGCTCCTTACCTCTAAACATACAAAAAAGTAAAAAAAAAAAAACTATGCTGTGTCCTCGGTTTATGCGATCACTAGGAGCGTGCCAAGTCTTCCCTTCATACGAACACTAGAAGCATGCAATGTACTTAATACAAAGAAGGAAGGTTACTTACCTAGACACGGATTCTCGTGGGTCTTGTTGTAGTGAAATATACAGTCTTCGTTGTCATCGCCGGAGCCCCTCATTGAAGTCAAGACGTTCCCAGGACCTCCCCTTCCGCCGTAAGCCAGGGTACGCATTGGGGGTGGCGGAGCGCAGGTACAACCGAAGAGAGGTGAAAGGCGAATCTTTCTCCAGATCTCGTTGCATTTCGTACTGTTGGAGTTGAGAGAGAGAGGTTTCCGGGGTCAGTTGTTTTTGCACATCTTTAGCTACCTGGATTAACCCGAGAGAGTTTACAGGTCACCAGATTGTCAAGCTTTACTACAGAAGCGATTAAAAATTAATTATTGGAAAGTCTATGATATAAAAGTTGCTTCTATTGAAAACCAAAAACGCTTCTATCCTACCTCGAGGATAGAAGTGTGTGTGTGTGTGTGTGTGTGTGTGTGTGTGTGTGTGTGTGTGTGTGTGTGTGTGTGTGTATACACATTCCAGTGCAGTAGTTTTCACTTACCTGTCTTGAGCCGTACAAGTGATCCCACTGAAGCTGCACATGTTAACAAAATCCATGTAGTTTCTCAAGCAACTTCCTTTGGTCTTGCACAGGTCATTAGCCTCGCTGCAGGTGGGCATCACTGCTGTATTGTCCTCTGTCGACAGAGAGAGTTTCCGATAAAATTGCTTCCTCTAAAAACGAGTTCTTCGACAAAGAAGTATCTGTTAAAACGAGTTAGTGTGTGCTAGTGTGTTAAGTTGATAGGAGTAGTGTGTGGTAGTATATTAACGTGATGGGAGTTGAATGTGCTAGAATTGTAACTCGATGGGAGTAGAATTAACTCATGTAAACTTAATGCTATAATTAGGGACATTGAGAGTATCTTAAAATCCATTGATAAATATTATTAATGTTAACTTGCAGGCAATAGTGTGAGTAGAATATTAACCTGAAGGCAATAATGTGGGTACAATGTTAATTTACAGGCAACAGTGTGAGTAGAATGTTAACTTGAAGGCAATAGAGTGGGTAGAATGTTAATTTGAAGGCAATAGTGTGAGTAGAATATTAACTTGACGGGTTAGAGACGTTAACATGTTTCCCTAAAAGCAGTGGTTGAGGGTCGCAGATGAATACACAGAGGAAAGTAATTGGTGGGGATCGTAGATTGGTAGGCAGTATAAAGTAATGGGGAGGAGGGTTATGGGTAGAGAGACAGCAAAAAGTAATGGGGATAACAATGTACTGGAGTAAACGATATGGAAGAAAATGCAGAATAGAACCAGTGAAGAGCAGAGGTGCCATGGGCAAAATCAGAGAACACTGTATAAACATCAGAGGACAGCGGCTGTTCAACGTCCTCAGCGACTATAAGAAATATTACTGGGACAACCGTGGACATCTTCAAGAGAAAATTAGACTGTTTTCTAAAAGAAGTTCCGGACCAACTGGGCTGTGGTGGGTATGTGGGCTTGCGGGCCGCTCCAAGCAACAGCCTGGTGGACCAAACTCTCACAAGTCAAGCCTGGCCTTGGGCCGGGCTTGGGGAGTAGAAGAACTCCCAGAACCCCATCAACCAGGTAACCAGGGGGTTATGGATAAATAGTAGGCGTAAAGTAATGGTGGGAGTGATGGACTGAAGATAATGGGGTTATGAGTTGGGGTAATTGGTTGGGGTGATTGTTAGAGGAGGAATGGGGGGAGTGATGGATTAGTTGGGGGATGGGTAATTACCAGTCCACCCCATCCCCTTTACTCCCTCCCCCCCTCTCACACTACCTGCTACAATTGAGTCAATAATTGGATCACACCTTTAGTGCCTGAACTGAATACAACAGAAGCCCTGTTGTATTTTCTAGTCTGTTCACGGCATCAAAATGACTAGTCGTTATTGAACGAAAATAAAATAAATGAGAGTAAGAAATTATGCGTGCATATAAGAGCTCTTGCGTGTACGAGTGAGAGGAAGTCCGTGTGCGTACAAGAGTCCATTCATGTACGTGTGGGAAGCCTGCCCGTGGGAGTGTACTCACCTCACCTACACGCACATCATACACATCGTGTGCGTTAGGGAGCACGTCCGCGTGCTCATGGGAGGCCGTCGTCCGTGTGCGTGTCACAGGCCGACCCTGGGCGTGTGTACCTGAGCTTGTCTGTGTGTGTGTTTCCCTAAATGTGCTCACGCGTTCGATCACAAGCTCCCGAGCCACCGACTTCGTATTATGTCTAATGCACAAGTGGGAGTGCAGGTGTGTGTGTGTGTTGGGAGGTTGTGAAGGTGTGTGTGTATAATTGGGGGGGGGCGGGGTTATACATGAGTTTGTGTATGTATGTTGGAGGATTGTGCATGTGTGTGTGTGTGTGGATAAATATGTATATGAGGTGTGATAACGTGTTTGTTTGCAAATTTAGCTATTTGCTGTTTTCTTAAGTGCATTACTTCAATTATTCACTATCTAATTTTTGTTTCTAATTATTTATTGCATATTTAAATTTTTTATGTATTTCATTATCTTGATTTTCTTTTGTCTTCGTTATCTTTGCTCTGAAACTATTCTCCTTCCAAAGGTTCTACTCTTCCAAGGGTTCTGTTCCTCCTGTTGTTCTCGTGTTCTTTTTCTTTATTCTCTAATCCTGTTCTGTTCTTCCCTTGTTGTGTTGTTCCCTTCTGTTATTCTCTTCCTCTTGTTATTAAATTGCTTCTGTTATTCTCTCACCTGGATTTTTTCTTCCTGTTCTTTCATTTCTGCATTTCGTCTCATTCTTTTTTTCTATATATTTGTTTTCATTTGATATTCATTTGTTTATTTTTGCCAGTGTGAATAATCCTTTATTTCCCATCCCTCCATTATCTCTTGGTCTCTTTCACTCCCTTATATTATTTCTTGGTCTTCTTTGCACCCTTATATTATCTCTTGGTATCTTATCACACACTTCCATTTTCTCTTCAGCGCCTTGTACCATAAATTGTTTCATTTAGTTCCATCCTCTTCACCTTTCCTCTCTCTCCCCGTCAGTCATTCCATTATTTCCCAACCAATTTCTTCTTTTGGTAATTTATATTTGTTGCTAATATTCAATTCATCGAGCTCTAAATTGTTTATCGTAATTCTGACTACAATTGTTCTACACTTATACATATATATGTACAGTCCATCGCTATCATCCATGTTTTAATACATATGTCTACTTCGTCAATGTTATCCATCCTTCCATAATGTTAAGAAGGATTTGTTATATAAATTGCCATCTACACTTCGTGGAAATGAACTTTCCAGTCACCTGGGCTGTACATTCGCGTGGGGTCTACGGTTCGAGTCTCCTACAGCCCAGGTGAAAGGAAGGATCTGTTACGTTGTATATTTTTGTCTTGATATTTCCACTATGTATTCACCTCTGTCATCGCTCCCTCTGTCACCCCTGTCTTCACTCCCTCCTCGTCAGCTCTCCATCTGTCACTCCTCCCCACGCCTCTCTCTGAACCCTTTAGATGCTATAAAGTAGCATACGCTGTTTAATGACAGTTTATTGACATCCTTTTTCCTAGTTACCCATCAACCACTCTGCCTGAGAGAGTCGCAAGATGCTCCTCATCGAACCATGTATAATACCGAGATATGTATACTAACGAGATATGTATGCTACCGAGTTACATTAACGAGGTCAATAGGGAAAGTTTACTCTAGATAAATGCATGATTTTGACGAGGTCGTAGGGGGGGATATCGTTACATAAAGTGGGGGATATTTTGTCGATAGCTCTCACCGAACCTCGACACTCCGACGCTCGAGATATTCATCGCATGCAGTGTTAATGTCCAATATATCTTGTCAAACTTTCAAGTTATATCAGGTAAAAAAAAAATTGGGCCGCCATACCTAAAAAAATAACTCTTGAAAATATAAAAGCCGAATGCTTTTAGTGAGGTCGGTTTCTCCGACCTCACTATCGCTCGCTCAGTCTATGTCTATATCTATCTATATCTCTCAATATCTATAACTCTGTATCTATCGTTATCTATCTATATCACTATGCCTCCGTCTTTCTCTTTGTATATTTCTCTATCTATCTGTATCTCTTTCTCTATCTCTCTATGTCTCTGTATCTCTGTCTCTGTCTATCTCTCTTTTTTCTTTTTCTCTTTCTTGTTTTCTTTCTTTTCCCTCTCTTCACTCTCACACACACACTCTCTCTCTCTCTCTCTCTCTCTCTCTCTCTCTCTCTCTCTCTCTCTCTCTCTCTCTCTCTCTCTCTCTCTTTTCCTCTCTCTCTTTATCACTTTTATATCATATTCTTTATTACAGAATATTACCAATAATGGGATGCTGTTTACTCATCAATAACAACTATGCTGCCTCAGTGTCATAACAGTGGCGATGAGGGACGATTATGTTCGAGTAAATGAACCAAATTGTCCATCAGTGATATTAGAGCTCCGGTGTCCTCCCGCCTGTCTATAAGTCTGTCAGATAGTTCGACAGTCAGCCAGACAGTCAATCTGTCAAAGTCACGTGTGCCAGTTTAGCTACATGTCTTCGTGTCTATATATTGACCTTTCTGTCTTTCTGTCTGTGTCTTATGAATATATTTGTCTATCTGGGTCAGGATAGCTATCTGTTGAAGCAATATATCCATATGTCGTTATTTCACAATGTTTATCTATAAATCCACCTTTACATAGATTATTGCATCTCAGTCTCTATTTGAGAGACACTCACAACTTCTTCCTTGCGAACAATTGTCAGACGTGACTGTTTTGTAAACTACTACAATTGGTGTGGTTGGCTAAAGGAAATCGATCAAAATGGGTAAGTTCACCTACAAGAGAACGACAGATTAATCCATATATATTCCCAAAGAAAAAAAAATGTTAACGTCATGCCTTAGAAATGTCTTCAAATTTGTAGAAAATGTAACATACAGAACTAAGTTCGGTGTTTGGGGCTTTTGTCCGAAGTTTACTTCATGTCCCAAAGTTATTTATGAATATGTCTTGAATATTATACTGTGACTGGAAAAGTTAGAAGCCACTTTTAATTCTGTATGCCAAAAAATTTGTAAGATCATTAACAATGGGTAAGGGAAAGGTTTTTAGCCTATCATCCCCAAAATAACAAAAAAGGCCCTTTGTTGCAATTCCCTTAGCGGACCTTACCTGGCGTATCGACCAAAGAACATGGGTGGTTGAAGATGGTCTCCCTGAAGGTGTAGCAGTTGAAGTCAATGTGAGGCTCGGCACAGGAGCAAGACGTAAGGTAGTCGAAGGTCCCAAGCGTCTTCAGCAAGAGTTTACACTTGCCGGGAGTCACAGTAGCACAGGCCACTGTCAAAGAGATGGCAGGTTAGACACGCTGGTATTCACAGCTGAACGTTGTTAGGGAACTGATAGGAGGTTAGGGATTGATGCCAGCAGGGCTAAAAAAATTATAGAGGCTGGGGACTAATGCCAACAGGATCAAGAGGCCTCAAGACTGATGGGTGATGCCAGCGAAGTCTAGATAGATCGAGGCATGGGGCCGATCTAAGCAGGGTTTGGAGGCATCAAGGCTGGGAGCTGATATCAGCAGGGGTCTAGAGGCATCGAGGCTGGGGGCTGATATCAGCAGGGTATAGAGGCATCGAGGCTGAGAGGGAATGGGGGAGCCGATGCAAGCAGGGGTCTCAAGGGATCGAAGCTGGGGGTCTGTACGATGTGTGTTGACGGGGGTCGGGCAGAGTCATTTAATATTTAACTATTGTCTTCCTGCGTTTTAGCTGGGTTAAGTGCGTCAGGATGGAAGGAGGGGAGAGAGAGAGAGCCTTTGATAAGAGGAGAAGAGAGACGTATATATATATATATATATATATATATATATATATATATATATATATATATATATATATATATATATATATATATATATATACGTCTCTCTTCTCCTCTTATTTCTCCTCTTATCAAAGGCTCTCTCTCTCTCCCCTCCTTCCATCCTGACGCACTTAACCCAGCTAAAACGCAGGAAGACAATAGTTAAATATTAAATGACTCTGCCCGACCCCCGTCAACACACATCGTACAGACCCCCAGCCTCAATCCCTTGAGACCCCTGCTTGGAAAAAAACATGAAATAATTATTAGATAAAGGAATGCATATATAGACACGACACAAATACAAACTAATAATAAAATGAAACTCATATAACGAACAAGTAGGATATTCGGATAAAAAAAAGCAGACGCGTAAATGCAGGGATTAGCAGTTAAGTTTACAGTCATTTAGAGACCAGAAGACTATAGAGAACCTTACCTCTTAACACATGATAAATATAGACGCAACGGAAGGAAGACATGATCGCCACATAAAAGATCCATAATTGCACCGTATAAGTCGATACGTTTTACATATAAAGGGGATAAGCTTAATGGATATTGAAGGAATTAATAAATTCAGAGGAGCCATATGGACAGAAGAACTCTCACTCTCATTTTGAAACACAAGTGAGCAAGTGGAATGTGCTTGGGAGGGAGGATGTGATTGGAAGGGTGGAATATACTTGAGGGAGTGGAATATGCATTGAGAAGGATGGAATATCTTTGAAAGAAGGAATGTACTTGGAAGCATGTAATGTGCTTGGGTGTAGAATGTGCCTAAGAAGGGTGGAATGTGTCTAGGAAGGGTGGAATGTGTCCGGAAGGTTGGAGTGTGCTGGGGGACAGGAATGTGCTTGGGAAGTAATATTCCAGCGTAGGAAAAAGGTTGGGAAAAAAATGTACTTGGAAAGAATCAGCTTGGGAAGGAATGTACCTGGAGAGGAATATACTAGGGGGGGGGGGGTGATCTTGGGGAAGGAATGATCTTGGGGAGGACTGTGAATGAGAGGGTGGAATGCTAAGTTCGCAAAATATATGTAAGGCGACTGAATTGCGGGGCCGAAGAGCCCAGAACAGAGACAGACAAACAAAAATAGAGATATAGAGGAAAACTCGGAGACAGGCAAGCAAAACACGAACACAAACAGGCAAACATAGTGACAGACAGCCAACAGGATGATGGAAGGGCAAAAAGGGAGACATAAAGGCAATCAGGGAGATAGAGAATCAAACAGTGACAAGCAAACAGACAGAAATACATATAAACAGTCAAACAGGGAGACAGACATACAAACAGTCAAGTAGAGACAAGTAGGCAAACAGAGACAAGTAGGCAAACAGAGAGCCATACATGTGAACAGGGAAAGACATAGGCAGAGAGACAGACAGGCAAACAAAAAGAGACAGGCAAATAGTGAGATTTTAAGGCAATAAGAGAGACACAAGCAAACATGAAAACAGACATGCAATCAGAATGACGGGAAGGGATATAGAAACAAGGTTTCCTAGTACACCTAACTTTACTCACCTAACTCAGGCCCACAGATCTTGTGCAACATGGTGAGTACATCCCTGCAACTGTGGTCATTGTGGCACTGCTGCCTCGCCTCGATGCAGTTGATGACACCGTTGGCTCCGTTGCTCACTGCAAGGAAAAAAGGAAAAGAAATAGGAACTGTAAGTAAATGACTCTTAAAGATAGGTATTATGAAGGTTTCTAAACTTTGACCAAGACTGTTGATATAATTTGCACCGCAAATTGTTTTTGTTAGAGGTTGTCAGTTGTTGATATAATTTTTTTTAATTTGGTATAAAAGAAAAATAATTAGTTGCAAAAACAAAGTATATCGGGTTTATATAAAACCCAACAGCACTGTTAATTTGCTGATTAATTATATATATATATATATATATATATATATATATATATATATATATATATATATATATACATAACAAATAATGACAACTCGTGTCCATATGGTATTATAGTCCTCTTATTGCATGTCTCATCAGCATTCACACACCACCTCGAATTAGACATTCAAGCGAGAGAGAGAAGAGCATAAGATGGCTTCATAATATCTTGAATAGAATCCACAATTAGGCCGCCTCCGGAATGCAAGGGGAATAATAAGAGAACTGAGGCGTGTCTAAATACTTCTTGAGGGGGAAGGCTAGCACTGGTGATACTCCTCCTCGGTGGCTATTGTTCCAGCAGCGTTTAATGTAATTTTCTGGTTAAAGACAGCGAGTAATGGGGAGACAGTATGTTAATGAGACCCCAAGGCAGCTTTCTTCAAGATTAAACTCCACTTTAGTTCCTCCATTTGCACCTTCGACCTCACATACTAAATCACATTCAAGCGAACTGGCGCTGAAGATCGGAAACTCGATCTCTGCCAGACTCAGTGGCGTCCTTGAGTGTATCTAAAGCATATATAGAGGCACTTCCTTGATGCACTTCCACCATCCCCTCACAGACCGTCATCAATTTGAGTCATTGGCTATATGCCATGATTGAAATTGGAACTCGAAAAGGGCTTCGCTCACTTGTTTTGCTCAAACCGCACCGTTCTAAACTATTCACACTCGTACTGTAAATGCAAATAAGACTCAACAGGACCAAAATAATTAACCCTAATCAACCCTAGTCCTGACTACTCACAAAATTATAATATATACTAATACATATTTGTTGAAATTCTATTTTTCATCTGATTACACAGTATGTAAAAATTTCTGAATACGCCTTTCGAAGTGGGCTGCAATTTAGACGACCATTGTTAGAGGATGGGTTGATGTGCACGTCACATTTTATATGACGGCAAAGAATGGATCATATGCATAGTGTTCGCTCATAAAATACTATTCACAGACGACCAGATATCTGCAGTGATATTTCGATGCCATTATTGATATATAAGATTTTACGTATAACTGATCAACAAAATAAAATTTTGTACCTTGCTTAAAACGTTAACTAAAATAAAACCGCCGTTCATTCACAAGATGTCAGCCGGAAATCCCGATATACTTTGCTTCTCTGTACAAAAAAAAAAAAGACATCAGAATGCACTCAACCAGAAAGCCATGAAGTAAAGAGGATTCTTAATATCTTCAAAAACTCCAGAGAAAACTTTTCCAGAGCCGATAAACTCGCGAAGGCCTGAAAAGAAAGGTCATTTTTGGCGGCGTAAGAGGATTAGGTTTGATCTTGTTGGACATGGTGTGATGTCTCACGCTCTATCTTTGCCAGATGAGAGATGCTGAGATGAGGCGAGAGGGGAGGGGGGATGAGTGTGGTGGAGGGGGTGAAGGGGAGAAAGGGGGGGTGAGAGGGGAATAGTGGTGAAATATACTGGTAGGAAAGACGAGGGTGACTTTAGTGAGGATTCTGAATTGACACCAATTAGGGTTATACCTATGGGTGTAAGGGATTAGTAAGGGAATGGCTACATTGGTTGAAATGTGCAGAAAAGTATTTTCTGGCAGACCCATTCCAAGGTCTGGAAATCCTACCACAGACCTGGGAAGACAAGAAGAAATTTCTCCCTCATTTGGGAGGAAGTCTGCGTTAAGCAGTGTGTGAGAATATAGTTATACTTCAGAAAATAGCGTAATGAAGAATTATAAACAAATATGATGTTGCCTAATCAAGGTTTGATTCAAACTGAACTGGATTATTGGGGAAGAACGATAAAATATTTTCCATTATTTTAGTTCATTTCTATAATGTTTGCACATTAACAAAGGAGTGCAGATTAGCGTGAACAGCATCTGAATGCAATAGGAAAACTTAGAAAAAATCACTTGCGTTACATTATCCTAGAGTGAAGACAACATCGACCATGGAGTCATGATAGCGGGTCTACACAGGTCAACGAGACATCACCCAAGAGATAAAAATACTTTTTATTTGTGTTAAATCGGAACTTTCAAAGTTTTCCTGTTCTATTTCTCTTTACGTGCTCCTCCCTTCTCCTCCTCGCTGCTTGACCTGACACGATTCCTTTCGGTACAAGGCGTTTTCCCCTCCTGCGAGAAAAATTTACTCCCTGACCTCTTCGTCATTTTTTCCCTTCCTGCAGGAGAAAACTAGGTCTCCGTTACCTGACTGCCGGGAAACCATGCAGGTTCCACCACTCTCGCACCACTTGACCCGGGTGTTGGTTGAACCTATATTTACAAGGCAAATATGTGCCCTTGCTATTACTCGTTTTTGAAGATATCTCGAAAATCGTCCGCGATATAATCTGTGGGGGGCGATGATTGCTTCAAGTCTCGATGAGAGAGAGAGAGAGAGAGAGAGAGAGAGAGAGAGAGAGAGAGAGAGAGAGAGAGAGAGAGAGAGAGAGAGAGAGAGAGAGAGAGAGAGAGAGAGAGAGAGAGAGATAAAAGAGAGGCGTAAAGGCGTAGCGTTCACTTGACACCTAAGTTATTAACCCTTCAGATCCATGTAACCGAAGCATAACACGACCCAAAGGACCTCGCCTCCGTCAGTACGAGTCTTCGTCACTTTCTTCATCTTCCAGGATTTCCCACAAGCCTTGGTGGGGTTACAATGCCTCCCCTTCAATCCTAGGTTGGGATTCAATGTCTCCTCCCCCTCTCCCCCATTGGTTGAGTAAGAATGAATTCCTCCTCTATTGGATAAGAATGTACCCCCTTACCCCACCATGCGATGGCTAAGAATATATCTACACTACCCAGTCAAGAATCTTTTGAGATTACCACGGAAGATTTATATTAAGAAAAAGGACTGCTTTTTTTTCATCTAGGATTAACAGCATCATCCCCAGGTTAAAAGTTATAGCGGAATTATTGAATCATAAGAACTTCCACTCATGAAGTAAAGCTTATTTTTTTTCGTAGGATTAAAACTAGCGATTTATAACATTCTTGACGAGGTTATATTTTGGTTATATTTGTGTGCTTGAGTAAGTGGGAGCACTGAATAATTTACATACTTTGGGTAAATGGAACAGTGAATAATTTACATAATTTGGGTAAATGTGAACAATGAATAACATAAAGACCTCTGTGAACTGGACAACCTGGTTAAACTTAACTCCAGAGGTCCCCACTTTAAACATCAGTGGCAACAAAAAAGAATAACGTTGTTGTACTAAGTTACGATCATCATACAATTAGGAAGTGAGACGCAATGTCGCATATTTACTAGTGTGAATGACATACAGCGACATTTAAATGTCCCTGTAACATGCTTCTGTGAACATTTGACACTTGCCATATGTGGCATAACTGCAGTGCTGACCTTAAGCAGTGAACTCAAAATGTCGCTGGTCGTTAGGGGTTTAACGTGAGGGTTTTACCTCTGATCGAGTTAGAGAGTTTTATCCTCTACAAAAAAATGGATCTCAAAGCAATTTATATATTTTGTACATAAAGTAAATGCAAAAATGTAAATTAATTTGTATTAATATACTTACATACATTTAGCATATATATATATGTATATATGTATATATATATATATATATATATATATATATATATATATATATATATATATATATATATATATATATATATATATATATATATATATATATGACAATGTCAGACCACGGAGGAAAAATGAAACAGGAATTTCCTTAAGTACTTTCGTATATTAAATACATCTTCAGAAGGGACCTTCTGAAGATGTATTTAATATACGAAAGTACTTAAGGAAATTCCTGTTTCATTTTTCCTCCGTGGTCTGACATTGTCACATTCTTAATCACGTGTTTATTTTCGTGATATACACACACACACACACATATATATATATATATATATATATATATATATATATATATATATATATATATATATATATATATTTATATATACACACACACAAGTTCATATGTGACGCATTTTATATTTAATAAAAGACGAAAATGTTTTCAAGTGAATGACGAATGCGTTGACAGTGGTGACATTATAAAATGTAAACATCAAACAATTGGATTATGTAAACATCTCCTAATTAGGTTAGATAAGCATCAGACAATCACGCACTCGTACCACTGCTTTTGGCCGGCCATTCTGACCATATCAACGTAAACTATCATTGTAACTAGTGAATCATCGACGCTGTACTTTTTTATGTTATATACAAACCATTAGACTATCTACATCTCATCATTCTTAACTATAGAGATTCAGTTACCATGACAGTAATAGTGAAGAAAGTTTCTGATAGTGAAGAAAACAATAACAAGAAAGGTATGAAAAACCAAAACAAGAAGAACAAAATAAATAAGTAAATTAATACTAAGAAGAATACCAAAGAAAAGTGAACATAAGAACAAAGGTCACTTCAGAAGGGTTATTGACCCATATGTGGCAGCTACCATTTATATCCACCCAGATTCATTCGTATATATGTCTTGCCTTCGCTTGAAACTCTGAAGTGATCCCTCATGTCTGTTATGTTACCAGACATTCTGTTCCAGATCTCAACAACCCTCGTTACATTTTGACCTCAACACCCCCCCCAACCTTCCCCACCAGACACCTCTAAAATCCTAACCCTTCCTCACTATAAACCCCCCCAATACCCCAATCCTTCCCCACCTTGAACCCTAATACCCCAACCCTTCCCCCACCATGATCCTAACACCTTAATCCTCC